TTTTCCATAAAACACCAGAACAACTGGATTACAGTAGTGGAATACTTGCTGCTATAGAAAACAGATTTTCCTGTTTCAGTAACGCTGAATATATATCATATAAAATACATCAACCACAAGCATCTGTTTTTATTGCTTCCTCCAGAAATAATTATACATAATTAATTGTTTTGTTCAGAGCAAAGACAAGTAACTTTTTATCCACTCGCACATCAAACTTCAGGTTTGTTCTAATAAAACAGTTTTGGGTTGGTTTTTTTTTTTTTTTTAATCACGAGCGGAAAAGGAGAATATGCATACATATGGGCAGGGGATATTCTCCAAAAAACTAGACAATTAAGCTACAACCCAAAGACAACGCTGCCTCATACATGGTAAAGAAGAAACAGTGGAACTGGAGCAGAAAAAGTAAATAAACTAGAAATCATGCCCTGTACCAAAAGGAGTGATGCACATTATTATCATCATAACAACACTGTCTTCATAGTGTTTACTTAGGATTTATTTTTCTTGTTTTCTCTCTGCTAATGACCACATACTGCAATATCAATTGGCGTTTTACGTATTTACACAAAAAATTTAACTTGAACTATGTACATCTTCAAAGCTTCTTATAGTATTTAGACATCTATCTAATGGGAAGATGCTGTGCAAAATAAAAGATTACACCTATCCCAAAGAGCTTATAACTTATACAAATTAAAATGCAAACCACTTCCACCAACCTACATTTAAGTTTTACTTCCTTAAGTTTTACTTTTACTTTAACCCAGTATTTACCCTTCTGGCATTCAAATAAATAAGACTGCAGTTTTCAGCTACCACACTGAAATCCACAGGATTTATTCTGATCTGTGTTGTATTACTCACTAAGTTTAATTCTACTCTTCCAAGCCCTTCATTTCTTGTGGCAAGCAACTACAGGGCTGTTCTCGTTAGAGCCCAGCGCATACATGGGCAGGTGTGATGTACAGAAGCACAAACACAGATGATGAGGGCAGCCCAGCCCATGCTGTGGCAGCTATGCAGAGAAGGGGCCAGAAGGTCTCCCACAACATTCCCTGTGCAATTGCGCTTCCAAGAGTTCATCCACACAACATGTATGGGAAGGAAATTCAGATTGTGGGGTCCAATATCCAGAATATCTGCAGCCAAGAGTCCCCCTGACACTAACTTGAAATCCAAACATACTACTAAACCACTGGCATGGACAGATGCTCCCCTGGAGCTCTGAAATCCACAAGAAAAGGATGAGATATTTGAATGGTCTTTTTACAAGGGCAATCCTGGAAGAAAAATACAGTCTAGGTACTGAAGGGAGTGAACTCCAGCAGACCTTGGGAGCCTCAGGCACAGCCCGGAACAGGGACAACAATCGCTTCTCGGGCCAGCCTCAGTAACTCTGTGTCAGCCCATCCATCCCACTCTGCAGAGTGCCACTTATTTTCGTTACACTCTTAATAAACTATATTTTACACTCTTAATAAACTATATTGAGGAACAAACAGTGGCACAGGGATGCATTCTGCTGACTGTTTTCAGTACAGGAAATTTTAATATCCAAGTTTAAGGGACAGAAAATAAACCCAGAATGTCAATAAATATCTGAAGTTATCTGGCTGCTAGATGGATATTTATAATTTTTATTACCATCCTCCCCTCATCTTTACTGTGAGTGGCAATTTAAATGTAACACAAGCAGACCATCCCAGAGCAGCCAGCCTGCAACTACAAAGACTTGTCCCATAGAGCAGCTGCTCTGTTACGCATGGTATAAATAAATGCTAAACATTAAGGGATCAGTTCACAAGGGAACAAATCTGTCATGACAAACATAGATAAACACTATGAAAGCATTATGTACATTTCAAACAAAGTCATCTCAATTCTACAGCACTGGATATAAGTTCTACTGAAGCCTACAGTTATTGTAGGTGGTGTGCCCCATTTTTCCCATTTTGAGATTTTACTGTCATTCCTGCATATGAAACACCATCAATCACTAATGCCTTGAGGTGGCATTGCTGGTGACAGAGTAGCAGGGTTGTGATGGAAATCAACCCACCAAGAAACCACTTTAAAACCCAGCAAATTAAAATACACACATCAATTCACATATGAAAAAAAGCACTGACACAATTTGTCAGTTCGGTTCCACACAGGACTGGCATTTGGTCATTTTTTGATTTATGAACTTCTAAACCTCTTATCCAGTGCATGCAGATGCCTATATAAAGCTGGTGCAAATCTGCCCAGTAGGTCGTTTTCTTCCCTTTCATAGCACCTTAGAAGCAACCCCTCAGACCTCCACAGCTTAACACGATACCCATCTACAGGCTCTTCGCCAGATCACAGAGGAGTGCAGCTACCCCTGCAATGGTTACTTTCAGCTGCTGCTAACCACAGACATTACCACTTACAAATTATGCCAAATTAACAGCCAGTACCAGCTGGAAGTCACCCAGGTGGTCTCCTGCTCCACCTCCTCAGGCAGTCTTTTTGCCATTCCCCAATACCAAAGTCATCTGGAAGACCTGCTTTGGGGAACAGTTTCATCCCTACTTGCAGGACAGGTCCACAGCACAGTCTGAGCTGCATTTGTGTTCTGTTTAATCATATTATTCTGGGTTTTACTGGTTGTCCTTGTCACAGGATCATTTCTGATGTTACTGTTGTCAAGTCGTGGTGCTGTTGCTAAAGGTCTCTACAGTTGTATTGAGAACTTGTTCTCCCTGAGGGGATTAGGACTATGTTGCTCAATTACTACTGGTAGCCTCTTTGGAAACTTAAGAGGTCCCTTGTCTTTTGGATGCTACTTATTAGGATTATTTCAAGTGTAATTTAGGCTTCAGTTCTCCTCTTTTTTAGTTTGCAAGAAGAAAGACTTGCAATTCACACACTCATCAGAAATATGTTGTTCCCTATAGCAGACGAAACGTTATTACATCCACCACCTCAGGGTCCACTAGGATTAGCTTGTTTTAAAATTTATCATGCTGGAGGGCTCTAAACTCACAAGTGGATCACTGCGCTACATTCAAGTGTGCACGGCAAAATATCTTTCTTGTTCCCCTTCCTCCCTTTCTTTGGAAAAACTGAAGCTATTAAAATTAGCACCTCTTAAAGCTATTAACACAAATAATTAAAAAGAATGAAAGGTATTTATTCATAAAATGGGACATGACACAAGCTTGAGGCTCAAGAACAGCAACAACAACATGGGCAATAACAGAGTAGGCCATTGCACCTCTACACAAGAGCAATGACACAGTCCAAAAGGCACACATCAGCCAAAGCACAGCACTATCTTGGAAAAGATTTAGATAAGCTGGAGATTTCCATTCTTGGACAGGTGACGTGTATTAGCCTGCAAGCCACCAGGTATTCAAAGGGTGACAAAAGTGGTTTTGAGACTCAAATGGCAGGAGGGGAGCATGAAGCAGCCTTCTGAACTGCTTTAGTTTGCTGTTTTAAAAATAACTTTGTAAGAATTTGGGGGAAAAATATCCTTGGGTACTGCGGTCAGGGTCCTCCCCACAAGCCATAGTGTTTGATGAAAGTTGGCAGATGTTTCAGCCATAGCAAAGATTAGACTAGAAAAGAATACCACATAAAAGGCAGGAATTTTATTGCATAGAAATGTGAATATAAAGAAATGCAGTAGAAAAAAAAAAGCATGCAAGTCCCAGAACCAAATGCCTATCGATCAAAAGAAAGTCTTCTGACATGTATAATTGCCTTTTAGAACACTACAACAAAACCACATTATTTTCTAACAGAAATGTGAAGTGCAAATAGAGTGACGCAGACTAAACACTCAGAATCCAAACTACCTTGTCACTGATGCTTAACACACGCAATGTTATCCAAGTGGTGATTTAATACACAGTTCTGGCCATGACATTCTTGATCCTATGTGACCTGCAGTTTCTGCTATTGGATGTTGTATTACATTCTGACACAAACATATATTCTTCACACAGCCACATGAAAGAACGAATGTTCTTTGCAGGAGAAAATAATTAAGATGGCTATAGTAAAATAACATAGACTGAAACTGTATTTTTCTAATATTCCCTGAGAGTAGGAAGCTGTCCCCATCCGAACACAAAAGCAAAAATGTAGTTATCACTTTGACATGCTGTAGAAAATGAGACATTTTTACCAACTGGGGATTGCACTGGTATCTTTCTACATTCTTCCAACTTTTCACCATACCAGGAACTCATGTGAAATATTTCAGCTATGTAATTTTGGTGGTCAAATTTTCAACAATATACATTAATTTTTCTCCAGATGCATCTGTTTTCAAAACAGCTTCATTATTTTCCCATTTTTCTCCCTCCCTCTCCCCATGAATATTGCTCATCATTCAGCTTACTATTGAAAAAGGAATACCAGACTGCCCAGTCACAAAGTTAGGTCATACTAATTCTGCATTCTTTGAGCTGTTGGAAGAAAGCTCACTAGGGTAACTGTAAAACATTCCTCTCATAGGCCAGCAAAGCTTCATTTAGTCCCTGAAGGCACTATGACAAGACAGGGTGGCTGGGAGCCATCTTTTGAAAAAGTGTAAACAGGCAAAAGGACCCTCCTATGTTTCTGAATGGCACAAACTGTAATTCAGAATAGAATGGCCTCAGCGAAGCACCTACTTTCTACTCAAAGTGCTGGGCTCTGGGAATCATCATGGGAACATACATATAAAGGAAATGCATAAAAAGGAAACTTCCCTAGAAGAGCAAGATGGGAAACAGAAGGAAGTCTATTACTTGGAAGCCCAGCCTGCCTTCCAGAGTGCTCAGGAACAGTTCAACAGTGCACTGCAGCTTGTTTGCAACACTAGGCAAAATTATGACTAAAGCCAGAGTCTCAAAGAAAGGAAAAAAAAAGAACCACCAAAAAGGTATAAATGTAGATAGAGTTGATTAGTTAACATACACAAATGAACATTTGCTAAAATGCCTTTATGGATTTGACCCTGGCTTGAACCTTGAAAGTTAAGTGCGGTCGCTGGAGGGAAGCACGACAAGCACAGCATGGAATTTGAAAGCCGGTGAAGGGCAGGCATCATAAACCATACTCACCTCTAATGTCTGCATTAGTGTGGGCTTAATTGCATCTTTCATCAAAACTGCCAAAGCACCTGTTACTCCCTAAAAAACAAAAAAGTCCACATTTTAAGGAAGTCAGTTCTAAGGTGCAATATCTCTGAGTTAAGCTTACAGTTAGGGGAAAAAACCTTACACATCAAAGGAGAAAAAGAAAGCGTGCTCATAAACCATAATGGATAAGCAATGTTATAGTGTTGCATAAAGAATTTATTTAGATGTTACCTCAAGACTTCTAACATCCTGTATTTACAGAGTGTGCCAGAAATAGTAACGATTTTGCTCTGAATACACTTAAAAGGCAGTAGGTAAATATTCTTCCACCAGAAACAGAGTTATTAAGTGATCAGCATGAGGATGTTCATGGGAACAAAAGACAAAGTGGAAGCAAAGGCCACTGAGACCTGAGGAAGCAAGAAGGCAACAACTTGCTAAAACTGCCTAAAGAAATGACAGATGTATTTCTTTCATGACAGAATCAATAGCGTGAACCAATAGATAGCAACAACCAGAAAGGGTATTTTTCAAGACTTGTACAAGCATATATGTAATAGGCACAGCATGAAAGCAGGCACAGAGTTGACTAGGAGTAGATAATGAATACATCATGAGATTAAACATTAAGGTGCCTTACTGTGATGATGACAAAAGAGGCTGTATGAATTGCTGCATATCAGTTGTAAAAAAATCTTACTCCTCCCTAAAAATTTTCCTGGCTATTAAGTTTAAATTTCACACTGACTGAATTTAAAATAAGAGAAAGTCATGACAACCCTCTACACTAAAATCCAATGCCCATTTCAGAAAAAAACTGGCTATAGAGTGTGCACAGCACTATCAAACTATATGCAGAGTGCTACCTAGAAACCACAAGCATATATTTCAATTTATTCCTAAATTACTTTGATTTTGAGAAGAAAATGCATTTTGTTTTGAAAGAACTAGATCATGGATAGAAAAAAAATGCAGCAGTGTTATAAGCAGTGGCTCATTTGATTGTTTGAACAATCGAACTCTCTGTGAAAATTAGAATGACAGACAGATGACAGACATAAAAGTCTCTCATTACATAAATACAGTATTTTATACAAATTCAAGTTTCTCCTTTCTGAGCATCACACCTGAATATAGACTTCAGAGGAAAATGAAGCAGAATATATGCCTCGGATAAAAATGGATTGAAACCAAAATAGTAAAACTGGTTTCTACTAAAGCATAGCAAGTGTTTCCTTGGGGGAGAATGAAGGAAAGGAAAAAGAGGAGGGAAAGATGTTTCTTCACTCTTTGCATTTTGTAAACCTCCACTATCTACATGTCCCAATAGACCCACAAAGAGGTAATAAGAGAAACTGGTAGCAAAACAATATAGTTTTCCCTCTTCTGAATTAGTAAACAATAAATTTTAGTTTCTTGATATGTTAATTTTAGAAGTTAGAATCAAAATGCAAGGAAACACCAGCGTGCCAGCTCTCTGCCAGAATGGCTGAGGCTCCACTACCACCATAGAAGCAGCCTGGTGCTATGTTGTACATATACCCAACTACTCTCATTTGAATCCGAAGCTGATAGCCTAAATACAGGGAAAAGGAAAATATATTAAAAAGAGAAATTAAATTATTGTTGGTTTTCACTTCCACAGGCTCCTTTATAGCTACAGATTGCTTTAACTGGTAAGATTATAATTTACTTATTTTAGATAGACAACGTAAAAATGCAGAAAAAAATTGCAACAAACAGTATTTCATAAAGGTTCATTTATCCAGTACCCCATAAAATTTTCTGCTTTTAGAATAAAATGTAACTTCAATATTTTATCCATAAATGAGTTTTCTTTTTACAACCACGTAAAAATAACTGCCACTGCTACAGCCTTTGATTTCTTGTATGTTAGTAATTTGTAAAAGTCTTTCTAAAGTGGGTGTATTTCTTAGGATATTAATTTTTAAATCTGTTCAATACAACAGTTTGCTTTATAAAGCTGACTTGATTCACTTCCAAATCTGAAGCACTCACAAAATAAAATAGTGAATACCCAGTCCCAGCTCTAACAATTTAAAAGGAAATCAAACAAACTTCAATCCTAGCAATTTCTTCATTAAGCCCCACTTTTTAATCCTAGTAATTTATCAAAACAAATATATTCTTTTTCCTGATAATCACAGTACAGAATTTGAATTAATTAAAAAAAAAAAAAATCAGAGTGTGCAATATACTTATTGAATAGATCTATAAGCCTGTTGTTTTCCTGCTGTTTGAACAATTTAGCAGCCAGCTGGGACAGAATTTCTCAGACCAAAAGCACAGTTCTTCCACTTCCACCCCCAGCTGAAGGAAATGATGCTCGTCACTAGTTGCCAGCAACACAAAACTGTAACAGCTAGTTAAGTTGTTTGTCTTCTGTCTCACGGAAAGCAGAAGCATGCACACACACTAGTTAGGAGGCAATAGGTAACAGAAACATCTGAAGGAAAAGGTTGGTTAATTTCACGTTTTCTCCCTGTATCCCAGTTTTTCCATCATAATATAGCATAAGCTATTCATCATTATGCTGAAAGAGAAACAGCTGCTGATAATTTTCAGCACATGAACACTGAGACAGTTGACAGTCTTACCACGTAAAAGGCAATTGCAATAGCTAGTCAACTTCCTGAAGGAAAAAAAGTCAAATGGAAAACTTCACATCACATCTTCCAACTGGTCAACGGCAAGGTTAGCTACCTGAACAGCCACAGATCAGCCCTAATGCTCTTCTTTAGAAACCTGCCCAAGGACTGACAAGTGTTAACTCATGCCAACTGCAGCCATCCCGATTAGGGGTTTCCTTTGTCTACTTCATGCTGGATGAGACCACCAGCTCATTCAATGTAAGCAGGCAAACAGCTATTTGCTGACCCAAGCCATGTTGAGTGGAAAGAAGGCTTTGGGAGAGAAATAAAAACTAAAACAAAACCAGGACACCTTTTTCTCCCCTCCTAGACAACAATGTCTCAAATCCTGTCTCCTTTGCTTTCTGATACACACCAATTAAGTGTGTGAGAGCCCAAGGTTCATTAGGTTTCCCCTAACTCACTGTCAGAAGAAAGAAGTAGGACTCCAAATCAAATGTATATGGACACCCAACTCTCCTGGGTTGCCTCCTAGAACTGATCCCAAGTACTTCTGAAAATAATACCCCTTCCATCTATCCACCAGCCATCAGGGGAGGTATGCTCCCCAGGACAGCAAAGATCATAGAGTGCAAAATAAATTACACACGTGACACAGAAAAGGCAAACTTGGATGAAAACCCAAAATACTTTCAAAGCAACTTCCAGCGGAGCAGTCTCTGAAGTCTAGCAAGAGTTGAAATGAAAGCCAGCATTAGATGACAAGGAAGGTGATTGAGAGTAACTACTGTGAAATGAATAAGAGTTACACAGACTGAAAGGCAGAGAAAAACCCTTTTCTTGATAAGAAAAATAATGAAGTACTTGTAACTTCCCTTCATTTAAAACTATAGTCTCTAACAAAATGATAATATTTTTCTGCAACATCAGTTCTGTAAAAAACTAAACCCTAAACCATAAGCTGATAACTGGAACCACTTGTGTTTAAAGTGAAGTATGTACACAATGTTTTTCATGAATCAGAGAACAAAATATATTCAGCTGACAGATCATTTATAAAAGTAAATATGAAGTTATTTTTTTTGGTCCTGGAATTATTGAAATCTAACAGCATGGCACAGAAAGTAAGCTAAGAAGAAGTCTTATTTAAAAAAAATAGTGACATATTTATTTAATATTTTTCATAGCTGCTGAAATACTGATTTAGGCCATACATACCCATTTAATTTCACACAAAGATATGGCATGTGTCCATCAAAATTCTACTACACTGTAAAAGCCAGAAAGCAATTCAGTCTTCAAAATACTGTACAATGAGCACCACATTTTGGCAAAGACTTCTGTATGTTCCATTACAGAGGACAGATATTTAATCCATTACTCTTGTGGAAGGAGTCCTCCCAATTCATGAAATATTCAATTTATCTTTTTTCTATTACTCCTAGACTGCCTCTGCATCTGGTTTATATCTGCCAATGTGTATTTTAGGTTTTACTATTGTATTATTATAAATATATTGCATATAAAGTAAAAATTAAGAGCAATTGTGTTTTTGTGAAGTATATTGTGTGTACATCTGGAAACAAATCACAGAGAAGGGTTTTGTGGTTTTGGTTCACATAGATTCCAATGAACTAAAGACTACTGTCAAACATTTAAACCTGCATAAATTCAGTCTGGGTAGTATATATAAAACATGAACCCCAGAATTTTTTTTAAGTGACAGGTAGGACTGACCACCACCCATTATTCAAGTTGTGTGGTACTTCCCATGATAAAGCTGCCTTTACAATTTGTTAAAACTATATGCAATTGCAGTTCTTCAGGCTAAAATGTTCCATGTCAAGTGGCTATGACAGATTCAAGCTTTTAAACTTGATTTTATGAAAATTTAAGTCAAAATGATTGAGCTGTTCTTGGATGGAGAGTATTCGAAAAGCATGTATATTGTTTTCCTGTGTTCAGTTGTCTTGAGATCTTTCCTTTCTGAGCTATTAAGCTTTATCTCCTCTCTGACCCTGACTCGAAAGAAGGATGAAAATTCAGGTGGACAATGGCTTCACATCAAACCTCTTACCACATCTGAAAATTTGCTCAAGATATAAATCTTGGGAAAATGAAAATTACAGTTCACAGATACTCATCAGTAAATGCTTAGCCTTGCCCCATCCTGCCCAGAAAGCTTTAGCCACAATGTGCAGTGTCCTTCCAGCCTAGGGCGTAGTAACCGTATCTACAGTCTGCACCAGTCTGTACAGCGCTCTCCCCTTGTACAAAGTAACCAGTATTTAATTTGATAAAGAAATCTTAGTAAGAAACCCCACTACTCATTTCCTTTTTCGACACCTCTTAAATCCCAACACCACAGCATCTGACTTCTTCACCAATATTAATAAGTCTGCAGAAATGAGCAATTAGTCCTGTTTTCAGAAGAGAAACCGGCACACACAAGGATCAAACTCAAAAGTATTCACCAATTTTGGATGCTCAACCCGAGACAACATAAAATAGTTTCTCCTGGTTCAAAGTTCTTGATGGTGCTTCACTCTTT